TTCTTCTTCTTCTTCTTCTTCTTTCTTCTTCTTCTTCTTCTTCTTTTTCTTCTGCGTCTTCTTCTTCTTCTTCTTCTTCTTCTTCTTCTTCTGGTGGTTGTTGTTGTGGTTGTTGCTGTTGTTGTTGGTGTTGTTGTTGTGCAGGTCGACAACGTGGAGCACGGCTATGGCGCCCAGGTGGTTGTGGTTCTGGTTGTTGTTGTGGTTGTTGCTGTTGTTGTTGTTGTTGTTGTTGTTGTTGTTGCTGTTGTTGTTGTTGTTGTTGTTGTGCAGGTCGACAACATGGAGCACGACAATGGCGCCCAGGTAAGTACCGCTGACGCAGGTATGGCCTCCGCCCCTCGTCTTCTTCTTCGACAGCGTGGAGTAGGGCTATGGTGCCAGGTGGTTCTTCTTCTTCTTCTTCTTCTTATTCTTCTTCTTCTTCTTCTACACTACTATAAGAATCGCTATTTCGTATCGTACGGCCTGAATTGCAGTCTGGTACCGTTACCGGCGACGGCCCAGATCGGCCTGCGATCAGAAAGTTTTCTGATCGGCCTGCGATCTGGGCAGTCGCCGGTAACGTTACTGGCGACGGCCCAGATCGCAGGCAGATCAAAAAACTTTCTGATCGGCCTGCAATCTGGGCCGTCCGCGGAGCGTTACTGGCCTGCGATTCAGGCCGTGAGATATCGGTAGGCGAGGCGCCTGTTGCCTGCCCATCGGCCCGTAATTGTGGCCGCCCCCCCCCTCAACCTTTTCGGACCGTGATAGATCGGTACCGGAGGCGCCCGTTCGCCTGGCCGTCGGCCCGTAATCGTGGCCGCCGCCCCCCACCCCAGTACCGAATCACCTGCGCGTCCGTTTTTCCGTTGTGGCCGTTTTTCGGTTGCTGCCCACGGCCACTGCTCCAATCGCCCGCGCTCCCGGTTTTCTTTGCCGCAGTTTTTCGGTTGCCGCCCACGACCACTGGTGCGTGTGCTCGCCGGTCGTCGGTGCGCGTGTTCGCTCCTTTGCTGATCTCCTTGGTGCTCATTGATCTCTCTCTCTCTCTCTCTCTCTCTCTCTCTCTCTCTCTCTCTCTCTCTCTCTCTCTCTCTCTCTCTCTCTC